TTCCACACAAGATGATACGGGAGGTTTTAGACAGGGCCTGAAGGACTGGACTGGGCCACGCTTGCGTCCGCCCCAGAGCTGTCTTCCAAGGAGACGCATCCATGGCTGCCCCCTCCAAGCCTGCTCAGTGGACGCTGGTCAGGAGGCAACGGGCCGCGCCGGCCACTGCTGTGAGCGCAGGAGGCTCCTCCTCCACTAGGCACCTGCTGCTCCCGCCCCAGCTGCAACCACCGCACCCCTCCTCTCTCCGGAACCTCCAAGAGCAGGACAGACCTGTCGGCGTGGGCAGCAGGCGTTCCGAGGCATTGGCGAGTGGCGTTCCTGCTGACGCCGCCAGCAAGTCGCCTTCTAGACCTGCACCAGGTTCCGAGGAGAGATGGCGGCAACTCTCTGGAAGACGCCACCTCCCCCCAGGGCCCCTGCACCTGCCAAGCTTCGCAGTGTCGCAAACCCTCTCCGGTCTTGTCCTCGGCATGGTTCCTTTCTAATAGAAGTTGTATTTTTTTGCATCCTTGAGCTGATCACGTGACCAAACAGGTCTAATAGTTGGAAGAGCGGCACTCCCTTTCCAGATTGTCTCCCAATGGCGCGGCGTGAAACAAAACCTGGTGGTCTGGATTTGCTGACTGTCTCCTGACATGGCACCTGGCAGGACTAGTGTGGGAGAAACCAGCTTTTACTGTTTTCTAAAAATCACTGCTTCACCCTGTCCATTTAATGAGGAATGACTGTGCCAATAAAAGGTTTCTCCTTCTACCCGAGGTCTGTGCTCTGCTGGCGTCTCCAAGCCCTTGCTCACTGCCTGCAGCCTGGTGGCTGCTGTCTCTGCCGCCGCATCCCGCCCCTGCAAGAATCGTGTGTGTGTGTGTGTGTGTGTGTGTGTGTGTGTGTAACTGCATGCCCCTGCAGCTGCAGTTTCAACTTCTCATTGCCCCAACCCTGTTTATAGTCCATGGCATCATTCTCCTTACAGCTCCCTGCCGTCCCCGTAATCCTTCCCTGTAGATCGCTCCCTCTGAATACGCCCCAGCCTTGGCCAGTGTGCTCCCGCTTAGAGAATTAAGGTCGTGGTTGTAGTGCATTTTTTTATTAACCACAAACCTTGTACCTGGCAAGATGCAGGCATGGCACATCGCCCATGGTGAAGACAGGGACCCTACCAGAGGGTGCCATTTCCGTGGGAGTGCTCAGTGTAGGGGGTTTTGAGAGTTCCCTGTGTCCCTGGCTGACGCTGCTGGGGGAGGACTTCGCCATTGTAATGCCCTGGTTAAGAATCACATCTCAGGGCCGGCGCCGCGGCTCACTAGGCTAATCCTCCGCCTTGTGGCACCGGCACACCGGGTTCTAGTCCTGGTCGGGGCATCGGATTCTGTCCCTGTTGTCCCTCTTCCAGGCCAGCTCTCTGCTGTGGCCAGGGAAGGTAGTGGAGGATGGCCCAAGTGCTTGGGCCCTGCACCCGATGGGAGACCAGGATAACTACCTGGCTCCTGCTATTGGATCAGCGTGGTGCGCCGGCCGCAGCGGCCATTGGAGGGTGAACCAACGGCAAAGGAAGACCTTTCTCTCTGTCTCTCTCTCTCACTGTCCACTCTGCCTGTCAAAAAAAAAGAAAAAAAAGAATCACATCTCGGTGCCCAGGTTCCTGAGGAAGCCAGGAGAATCCACACTCAACCCACGGATCAGTTGAGATACCTCATTTCTTTCCCTTCGCCAACTGAGAATGTCAGTGGGGATAGCTCCTTCCAGAAGCACGGGGAGCCTGGCGTCCGGCATCACTCGGGAGTTGGAGATCAGAAGCCGTATCAGATAAGCTCCAAAAACCTGAACACTGCAGGAAAAGTGGGACACTCGGATGATGAACAGTGGTGACCTGAGGCACAAGTTGGCAATCACTTTATTCTTAGAATTCCAAATAAATTCATAGCTCATAGTTCTTAGTGCTACCTGTGCCCAAACTGAGTTGAGTAATTCCAGTCCCATATTTCTTTCCCTGCCTCCCTCACGCACCCCCTTGCAGCTGTGGAGTCAGTGAAGCGTGGGGCACCTTCACACGTGGCTGCGCAGCTTCTGGGAGAGAAGCCTGCCTTGCCACCTTCCTGATTGGGGGAGATGCACCACGGGTGAATCATCCGTCAGTTTGGGACTTTTCTTGGATGCCCGTCCACAGGTGACAGATGGAGGTCACATTGCCTTTGCAGCCCTAGCAAAGGACATTCTTTGAGGCCGTAACAATTTAGAAGTTTGGGCAAAATAGTTCAGCCTTTTCCACTCTGAAAGCCTTGTTACTCTAAGTGGTCTGCAGCCAGCAGCATGGCCATCACCCCAGGGCCTCCCGGAAACGCACTCAGGATGCCGGGGGTGGGGGGGCAGGGGGGAGCCATTTGTGTTTTAAAAGACCTCTGGTGGTTTCTGGAAGCAGTCGTCCTCAAACCAGCCCCACCAGCAGCAGCTGCTGCAGGGTTGGGAAATCTCTGGTCCTTGCAACGGGGCAATTCTGATGGTTTCAAAACTCTCAGCCTTACAGCTCTGCTCCTAAAGGTGCCAAGAACTCAGGACGCTTGTTACTCAGCAGATGCCTGCTGTCCCTCCGCTCCGCACAGCCAGGCCCCGGGATGGAGCTCAGCAGCTGGTGGAATGGGGCCTCTCCGGGATGGCCCTGGCACCAGAGGCAGAAGCATGTGCGTGTCCGGATTGGACTTCCACAAGTCCCCCGGGTTGAGAACAGGTTCTTGCTCCCAACTGTTCTATTTTAAAGGCCTAGACTCGGATGGGTCAGATGCTCACTCTAAGCAGGAACCAAACAGATGGCATACCAGGGAGGCTATAAATTGAGCTGGGGAGTGGAAGGTGGGTTTGCCAGACTTAGCAAGTAAAAATACAAGATGTGCAATTAAATTTGAATTTCAGATACATACTTTTTAGCATAAATGTTCCATGCCATATTGGGGCTATAATTATACTAAGACCCTTTAATCTGAAATTCAAGTTTAATTGGGCTTATTGCACTTTGCAACCTTAGAGAAGATACCTAGGAAGACAATGTTGTTAGTATTTTATCACCATAATGAAATAGCTAAGGCAGCTAACCTGTAAGCCAACATTGCAGCTCACAGTCGCATTGGGCAGCCTCCATTGTTGGTTTAGCCTGATGATGGCAGTCTTGCTGGCAGAGTGATCAAGTGGCACAGAGCACCACATGATAAAAGCCACCAGGACTTGACCATGGGCCCCATCCTAATGACCTAACCAGTCACCTTCCAAAGCCCTACCTCCAAATGCCATAATTGGGTTGAGTTTCCACTCTCCTAGTGCCATAGCATAAGACTTTGGGAAGCAAACCCCTAAATCCTGAGGGACAGTGTTCAGACAGGCAAGCCTTTCAAAGAACTGCCGTATGGGTAACTGCTAAGGCCTTTGTATGAGGCAGTGCTGGACAGAATTCCATAGCTTCAGGTTCCAGCTGTTTCTACTGGTAGTCTCGTGTCTTATGAGGACTTGAGAACAAAGTCTTAGATCTTGACACGAACTGTAACAACCTTTGAAATCGCAAACCAGGCTGAAGCCAGGAGCCAGGAACTCAATCTGGTTCTCCAACATGGGTGGCAGGGACCCTACTATTTGAACCATCGTATCTGCTGCCTCTCTGGGTGTGCATTAGCAGGAAGCAGGAGGTGGAAATGGAGCGGGACCTGAAGCAGGCACTCCAACATGAGTTCCCCAACTTCAGAGCCAAACGCTGCTCCCTCAAGCCCAGTTTTGGTGACTGAGTTGGCTTGTAAGCCAGCTGTATCTAGGTGGCATGTCACCGGCCTGGCTTCAGCATGGTGTCAAGTGTGTCCAGGGCTGAGCCTCCGAAGAATAAATGAATGGAAATCTTCACAGACCCAAGCTCCAGCGGTCACAGAAAGAAAATCTGTAAATCAGTGTTTCGTGTAGAACCACGTATACACCAGCGTCACCACTGGGAAGGAACCCTTGAACGTAGTGACCAAGTCACCGTACACAGTGGACTCAGCAGAGACCATCCACATACATACGGTAACGGTTACTGTGCCCCGCAAAGCTGCCACATGCTGGGGAACCTTCCAGAGAGGTGAGGCCTAGGTAATCAGCTCTTGCCCTCAGGGAGGACTTGCTGACCTCCTGGAGTGGGCTGATTCTCCAGGGAGCTGTTAGAGAACGTGGAAGCCTGGTCCCTGGCTCCCTTCCTCTGTGTTCCCATCTCACCGTGGGATCCATTCCACTGAGCTCCCACCATGGTGATGCTGGATTCTGGGGCGCCCACCGATGGGACCAGCCCATCTCGGACCTGGAGCCTCCAAACCTGCGAGCTTCATCCACCTCTTCTACCTAAAGTGCTCAGCCCCAGGTACAAACAGACCGACACATACATCTAGAGCATTTTAATGCTCTGACACGGATATTCAACCTGAGGGGCTTTCTCAAACACACCCTTAGCAGGAGGCCATGTGCTGTCTCCTGCTCCTCCTGAGAACAGAGCACAAATCCCAGCTGTGCTGGCACGAGGAGGAGGTGAGGCAGGAGGCACTAGGCTAAGGAGGACCAGGCTAAGCATGATGGCTTTTTGCCAATCGCCTGGGAAGAACCTCTGGCCTTCGCTTCAGACTCCAGTATGTTAGCTGGGAATACTCACAAAGCAAAACTTCGGATGGCTGCTAAGGTGCAGAGAGCCCGGCTACAGCAGTGAGGCGCCGCCGCCACCTGCTGCTGCCAGCAGCCCTGCCCACTCTGGTCCTGGCGTCACCTGGGAGCAGATGGCTCCTCCTCCTCCTCACTAATCCATTCTCGGGCTCCAGCTTTCCCACTCACGCAGGCCTTCAAGTGAACTGACTTGACAAATGCAGAACAAGGAAATTCTTTATTACAAAATCTTCCTCCCCAAGACGCCAGCCTCGCTGGAGGCCACACCTCTACAATGAGGCCAAAGGCATCCCTGCCGATTCTCCCTGAAGCCCAACTCCCCTTAAATCAGAAAACAGTACCAGGACATCCAGATTTTTATTCCCAGCCTTCGTATGCAGAAGACGAGTCTGCCTTCTAAGGAAGCACAGAAGCATCACCCCGAACTACCAACATTCAGGTCTACCACATTCAAACAAGGAAACGCAACGAAGCGATGAGAAAAACAGGAATGGACAGAGAGAGTCCACTTCATTTTCGACTACGATAGCTACTCGAAGGTTGCTTCAATTCAGTACGTTGAATCCTCAACACAGCCTGATGCACTCTGCACCAATCTCGTGCCCATGCAGCTGCTTCGCCTCGGTGGCAGCCATGAGGCCAGGCTCGCGTCGGGGAGCCGCTGGGGCCAGGCGGCCTTCCTTTTGTGTGTAACTTCTCAACTGCACCTCACGGCTTCTAGAGGTTCAGGCACCCTGAGCTCCTTCAGGGATGAAAGTAGGAGGAAAAAAAGTAACAGAGAAGCCGACATCATCCTCGCAGGTGAGGCCATTTCGTGAACTGCAGCTTCTGCACACATTCCAATCAGTGTTCTCCGGTCTGGACATAGTCCTCCGTGACCTGGGACAGCGTGCTCAGGTACTGCCAGCTCAGGGCAGCCAAGAGCATTACGAAGGACAGGTAGAAGGGGGAGTAGTGGCTGCGGGAGATGAGCTGGCAGTTGGGCAGGTTCTGCGTCCTGATGGTGGAGATGATCTGCCTGGTTTTCCCGGAGGATGGGTCTGAGCTGGGGATTCTGTGATAAATCTGTCAGAGGAGAGGAAGACACAGTCAGCGCTCTGCGCGGAGCACCGGGTCCTCTGCAAACATTCTCCGCGTTATTTCACCACTGAGGCCCTGACAGGGCGGGGGCCCACCTGGACCGCCGTGCCAGCAAGCAGAGACCCCCGGAGCAGCAGCTGTGCCACGCTGCTCTTCTTTCCGACCCCTCCCCCCAGTGCCAGGCACACAGTAGATGCTCAATAAATGGTGAGCTGAGCAGAGGAAAGACAGGGTGAGAGCAGCTCAGGGAAACCAGATCAGCGTGTGCTGACGGCCAGATGCAGGGGCAGGAGTGCGCCCTGTGCCTCCACACGTGCGCAGAGCCCATCTCCCCCTGATACTTACGCTTACTGACAAAGGTGGGCCCTTCCTGCTGCCTCTCGGCTGGGCCACCTGTTAGCTTGACCCAAATCCACTCATCCGTCTTCACAGTCACAGACACCTAAAAGCCCTGCCCGACAACTCAGTGGCTCCCTCTTGCCCAAGTGCCTTCACGTGGGATCCCAGGCTGCCGGGGACGCAGGCTGCTGGGCGCCCACTGACCACTCCACCCGCGGCGCCAGTGGTGGCCCTGCCTGTGCAAGGCTCTGTGAACTCTGTTCCTCTCTTCCCTCACACCACTCCCTCTCTGGGCAGCTCCTCCCAACCCCTTCTTCCCCTGGCCAGCACTGACCTATTCCCCAGCTCTCAGCAGAGGGCCAAGAGCGCCTCTCCTGGACAGACCAACCTCTCACAGAGACAACTGCTGTGTCTGCGCCCCCAGCTGCACTGCCCTGTTTTGTTCCCCCTTTTGAGCTCCAGTCTAGCACTATGTCTAGCACACAGCAGGCGCTCCATAAATGCTCACTGGGTTGAACCAGCCAGCTCAAGGATTGCTGGTGCCAAGTAACAACAATCAGAGCCAGGACTGAGGCGAACAGACTGGACAGGTCATTGTAAAATAGTTTTTACCCCTAATTTTCATTATACAAAGTATTCCACCACCACCCCACAACAGGCATAGCTTAATCCTTGTTACTCTCTTCCCTAAAGAATACACCAGAGGAACATGCTAATGGTGTCTAATATCTAGTATTACGCTATAAAGGACAGCAATAGAGAGAAAAGCAGTGGGGATAAACCACCATTTCTAATTTCTTTCAAAAACTTCTGTGTGTAATAACGGTGATAGAAAAATAAAGTAAAAAGTAAAAATCCCCTCACAATACTCCTCCTTGGCCACAGGCTGGTGTAGTCAGTCTAAGGTCTCTTATGATGCCCATAGCATCATCTTCTAGTTCCAAAAACACGATTCTCCTTTGGCCTGCCTATTCCTTGCTTCACTGATGGTCTCTGACCCAGGACCTGGGTAGCTCTGAACAATCAACTCAGCTTCTGTACACGTATTTGTTTCCTAGTAAGGACACTGACTCCTGGGAGCTGTTGGCATCATCTAACATCCAAACATGGTATGTGTAAATAATAACACTTAAATCACAAAAGTAGCTACACCGTATCCAGGGAGCTGACTAAAACCCACCTCTTCCATATACTGGTAGATGATAGCTTTGACAGCTGGCATGTTGGTGGCATCCATCATGAGGGTTACGGCTTGCCCTTTCCGAATCTTCACCACCCCTTTGAAAACCTGCTGATTATTATAACAGGCAGCCAAAGTAGCAATGGCCATTACCTGTGGGTGACAAGGAGAAACAGGAGGGAAAAATCCAAATTCATTTCATTTCAGGATAAAAGTTAGAAAGGGTGCTGCAAGCAGCTGTCATGAACCTGAGAAAACTCTCCGCAAGTGAACAACAGCCAAAGAGCAAAGATTTCAGTAATCAAAACGCACCAGTGACAAAGTACATCAAGATTTGTCCTTGTCCCACTCCTCCCTTCTCACCAACACACAGAATCAAGCAGTCTTTGCAGTCTGAAATGATTCTGAAATGATTTAGCCAGAGGTTCCACTTTATGTGGAAGAAACAAATACAAATAAATGACACACTTCCCATGACAGAGTACACAGTTATTAGATCTGAAATGTACATTTCAAAATAGTATCAGGAAAGAGTTTTCTATTTTTGGTTGGTTTTGCCTACAATGAATTTAATCATTGTACATTTAAAAATGGGGGAGGGGTGTTAGTGTTTGGCATAGCAGTTAAGACACTGCTTCTAACACCTGCACCTCTTATCAGAGTGCCAGAGTTTGAGTTCTAGCTCTACTTCCAACTCCAGCTTCCTGCTCATGTGGACCCTGGAAGGCAGGTGATGGCTAACGTAGCTGGGTCCCTGCCATCCAGGTGGGAGGCAAGGACTGGGTTTTGGGCTCCTGGCTTCAGCTGTCATGGGCATCTGGCGCAATGAACGAATAGATGGACGATTTTTTTGTCTCCCTGCCTTTCAAATAAAGAAAACAATATGGGAGGGTAATAGAAGGGGGATGATTTCCTCAAAGGAAAAAATTTCAAGAATAAATGAAGACCTAAGACAGGGATAAATAGGGCTGGTGCTGTGGCACAGCGGGTACAGTCACCACCTACAGTGCCAGCATCTCACATGGGCGCTGGTTCGAGACTTGGCTGCTCTACTTCCAATAAAGCTCTCTGCTGTGACCTAGGAAAGCAGTGGAGGACGGCCCAAGTCCTTGGACCCCTGCATCCACATGGGAGACCTGGAAGAAGCTCCTAACTACTGGCTTCGGATCCGCCCAGCTCCGGCCTTTGCGGCCATTTGGGGAGTGAACCAGTGGATGGAAGATCTCTCTCTCTGCCTCTGCCTCTCTGTAACTTTGCCTTGCAAATAAATAAATAAATCTTTAAAATAAAAAAAAAAGACAGGGATACACATTTTCGTTCCAGCCACTATTCAAAGTTGGCCCTCAGAACAAGAACAATCCCATTTCCAAAGCAGTTAAGTCCTCTTACTTTCCTCACTGATTTGAGTAAATAACTGAAGTGCCCAATAAAGACACCTGGGAGAAGCTCCCAGAATACCAGGGCCAGGTCTGCAGCGTCAGGTTTTGGAATCCCAAGTCTAGGAAAAGGACAGCTGCTTAAGGAAGATGTTTTAACAGTAACAACTTCCCCAAGTTTCACCCAGCACCCCCATAGATACAGGTTGAAGCCCTTGATCCACCCTAACGGTCTAGCTAGTTCAGAACAGTTGGCAGGAAAAGTAAATCCAGAAGGAAGCTTCTGAAAACAAGCAGACGTAGCCTCCGGGCTGAGGTATGACACTGGCTGGGAGACACAGGGAGTCTCGTGGATCCGAAGCAAAAGAAAATTGCCATTTTAAAGGACTCATGCCCCTGGAATACAGCAGAGCCGAGCGGTATCTGCATGCCCCTCGCTCGCCACCGCCCTGCTCCCTGTAGCCCCTGCCTCCCATCCACACCAAGAGGAGCCCCCTGCATACCTGCGGAATAGCACAGAAGTTAAACACACTCTGATTTCTGAGTCTTGAAAGGTAGGTGATGACATCCGGGATGTGGTGCAGGGCATTGGTTATGAGTTCGTTCAGGCACTGCACAGCCAAGTCAATATTCTCTGGCTTAGCAAAATCCCCCAACTTCTTAACATACCTGCTCCAAACCTAGACAGAGGGGAGGATTAAACAGCAAGTCAGCATGTGCCTGGGGTGCATTTACAAATGATATTGAGGGATGTATGAGTAAGAACTGTGATATACAGTAAAATCTCCCTTTGCCACTGACTCAGCTTTCCCCAAGGGCAAGTCCATTGTGATGCCATAGCCATTTACTGGCATTGGGGGCCTGTTGCAAGGCAAGAGTGAGTTAATGGGAATGTCCTTAGAGACCATTATTGCAATATGCACAAAACAATGCTTTACTGACCTCAAACTAAAGAGGCGTCAGCTATAAACAAAAGCAGCTACAACAGTACCACGGGATAAACATTAAACCCTCCCAAGACGGCCAGGTCTCAAGACAATTAATGATTAACGTTACACTATTCATTCTGGTAAAAATACTGAACAAGCACATTTCGGGAAAACAAACAGGTTTAAACTCTAACATTACCTCCCTGGATCTTAGTTGCTTGGAAAAAAAAAACAAAAACAAAAACAAAACAAAAAAAAACACAACACTTTTTCAGTTGGACTGGTGGGATTGATCCTATGATTTTTTTTTTTAAATCTTCCATCAGCTGGTTCACTCCCCAGATGGCCACCAATGGCCAGGGCTGGGCCAGGCTGAAGCCAGGAGCCAGGAACTCCATCCGAGGCTCCTATGTGGGTGGCAGGAACTCAAGTACTTGGGCCGTCACCCCTGCCTTCCCAGGTACATAGCAGGGAGCTGGATCAGAAGTAGAGCAGCCAGAACACAAACCAGCACCCATATGGGATGCCAGGTTGCATGTGGCGGTTTTACCCACTACACCATAGTGCTACACCATAAGTGCCGATCTTATGATTTTTTAAATGTAATTTAATTTATTTTTTAAAAGATTTTATTTATTTGAGAGGTAAAGCCACAGACAGTGAGAGGGAGAGACAGAAAGGTCTTCCCTCCTTTGATTTACTCCCCAAATGGCCACAAAGGATGGAGCTGCGCCATTCCAAAGTGGGGAGCCAGGAGCTTCTCCAAGTCCTCCACGTGGGTGCAGAGGCCCAAGCACTTGGGCCATTTTCTACTGCTTTCTCAGGCCACAGCAGAGCTGGACTGGAAGAGGAGCAGCTGGGACTAAAACCAGAGCCCATATAGGATGCTGGCTGGCACTGCAGGCGGAGGATTAACCCATTGCGCCATGGTGCCGGTCCCACCGAACTTATGATTTTTAATAAATATTATTTAGAAGATTATCTGAAGCTAGCAAATAACTTACTTTTATTCTTAGGTAATTCTTCAGCTTCTTAAAATATGTTTACTGCAACCTTACATACTCCTCAAAATAAATAAGGACAGGGCGGGCACTGCAGTGCCACTTGGGATGCCCACCCACGTCCCCTGTCAGAATGCAGTTCAAGTGCTAATTACTCCACTTCTGATCCAGCTTCCTGCCCTGTGCCTGGGAAGGCAGGGGATGATGGCTCAAGTACTTGAGTTCCTGCCAACCACACGGGAGCCTCAGATGGAGTTCCTGCCTCCTGGCTTCAGACTGACAGTCCCAGCTCTTGTGGTCATTTGGGGAGTAAACCAGTGAATGGACGATGTCTCTCTAACTTTCAAATAAATAAATCTTACAAAGAAAAAAAAAAAGCCTATGGCACTGTGGCAAAGTGGGTTAAGCTGGTGCTTGGGACATCAGCTTCCCATACTAGAGTGCTGGTTCAAGTCCTGGCTATTCTACTTCCCTGCTCCCTGCTGATGTGCTGGGAAGGCAATAAAGATGGCCTAAGTGCTTGGACCCCTGCCACCCATCTGAGAGACCAGGATGGAGTTCCTGACTCCTGGCTTCAGCTTGACCCAGACCTAACTGCTGTGGTCATTTGGGGAATAAACCAGTAGACAGAAGATGTCTCACTCCCTTTGTCTGTCTGCCTTTCAAATAAAAAATAAAGCAAGTAAATAAATAAATAAATAAATATTTTAAAAATGACTAGGCCTAAAAGGAGTAGGAGATTCTATTAAAGGTCAAATTTTTATCTATTCTGGGACCGGCGCCATGGCTCACTTGGCTAATTCTCCGCCTGCAGCGCCAGCAGCCCATATGGGCACCGGGATATAGTCTCGGTTGCTCCTCTTCCAGTCCAGCTCTCTGCTGTGGCCCGGGAGTGCAGTGGAGGATGGCCCAGGTGCTTGGGCCCTGGCACCTGCATGGGAGACTAGGAGAAGCACCTGGCTCCTGGCTTTGGATCGGCACAGCGCCAGCTGTAGCGGCCATTTGGGGGGTGAACCAACAGAGGGAAGACTTTTCTTTCTCTCTCTCTCTCTCTCTCTCACTAACTCTGCCTGTCAAACAAAAAAATTATCTATTCTTACTCAGATTGATGGATTGTATAATTTGAACCATAAATGTCATGACATATTTCCAAAGTGGAGGGCCCCTTCTTAAATACATAATTATTTATCACACCTAAACATTAAGAATAAAAATACTTAAAACAGCTAGAATTCAAATTTTTCCATGGTCTTTTTTTTTACACTTGTCTTATTCAAATAAAGATCTAAACAAGCTTTACAAATTGCATTTTGATATCTCTTAGGTCTTTTTTAATCTCTAGAATCTCTCTTGCCTTTTTTCAGGCCATTTATTGAAGAAAAGGGTTTTGTTTCCTGACAAATTTCTTCCATTCTGGATTTTGCTGGTTGTATCCTGTAGTGCCATTTCATATTTTCATTCTTCCTTTGTTCTTCCTGTTCATTGACAGGTCTGGCAAGAATACTTCATTGGATCCTATATTTTCCCTGAACCATGCCTCCTTAGAAAAATCACAGTTCAGTTTCCTAATCCCATGGAGCGTCCTGTTCTGTTGTTAGTGTGTGGAGTTGCGCTGTCCAGTGCAGTGCAAGCTGAGTATATTTGGCTATGTACATTTAAATGAGCTAAAATCAAACAGAAGTCCAATTCAATGCCTCAGTCGCAGCAGCCACATTTCAAGGGCTCAGCAGTCTATGTGACTCGTGGCTGCTGTACTAGACAGTACAGCACCAATATGGCACCTCGCTGAGATCTCCTCCTGTATTCCAAGCCCTGCACCCACTATGATCTAGAACCTCTATTGTCTTCATGTTGGTCTTCTCTATTCTACTCAACTTTTATTTCACTCCTCAATATGGAGCTCACAGCGGATGCCAACTTTTTTTTTTTTTTTGACAGGCAGAGTGGACAATGAGAGAGAGACAGAGAGAAAGGTCTTCCTTTACCATTGGTTCCCCCTCCAATGGCTGCTGCAGCCGGCGCACCGCGCTGATCTGAAGCCAGGAGATAGGTGTTTTTCCTGGTCTCCATGTGGGTGCAGGGCCCAAGCACTTGGGCCATCCTCCACTGCACTCCCGGACCACAGCAGAGAGCTGGACTGGAAGAGGGGCAACCGGGACAGAATCCGGCACCCTGATCAGGACTAGAACCCGGTGTACAGGCGCCGCAGGCGGAGGATTAGCCTATTGAGCCACAGCACCGGTGCCAACTGTTTCATAATTCCATTCCATTCTGGCACTCTCTGGCCTGGAGATGGCAGTACATGCTACAGGCTGAGGGCTCAGCCCACAGACTGCAGGCAGCAGGCTGTCACCTGTACACCAGACTGGCTGCACGCTGGGATTTCCACAACCCCCTCCTTGGGTCTGTTTAGTTTGCCAGAGCAGCTTGTAGAACCCAGGGAAACATGTCTCGAACAGTTTCCTGTAAAGGGTATTTCTAAGGATATGGAGAAGAGCCAGATGTCACGAATGTCTGATTGTACTGACACCCGAGATCCAGCGACTACCTGAAGCACACTGAATCTTAACTTTATACTCACGTGCCTAAGGCAGTTTGACCTGTATTTCTGTCACTTGCAACTACAAAAGTTTAATGATTTGTTTTCAGAGTGTGTCTAAAAATTTTTTTTTCCCCAAATACTCTGAATCTGTTACCTCTTGAGGCCAAAACTCTCTTCCTTCCCTCTGGTCTTCCAAATAATCACGAATTATGTTTGTTTTTTGCAGAAACAGGCCCATAGAGTTAGCACGCTCTATGTCTTCTCCAACTAAGGGGTCTTCAAATTCTGAGGCAGAGAAAAGACGGGAAAGGCCAATTCCCACCAGTCCGGCAACATAGTGACAGTACTGTAAAAGATTATAAAGTAAATTAATAAAGAAAAATTTACTAAAATGGAAACATTAGAGATGACTAGCTACAAAAAGGCAGGTTCCAAGCAGAATGTTCAAGATCTCATTTTGATTAAAACACACAAATATACAAGCATACACATGCACATGGAAGGACTGTGCACCAAAAATTTAACAACACTGGTCTCCAGGTAACGAGAATTCGACGTCTGAGAACAAGGTAGCCCAGCGAGGCTCTGGCACTGCTGTAAGTGCTCTGTATTTTCCATCATCACAAACATCTGATTAACAGTTTCACAGATCATCCATCCGGGAAATCAGAGGCCAGAGGTTAAGTCCACCTTAAGAGTTAGGCTTTATCAATTTCAGTAAAACTTTCCCGCTCTCAACAAAGATTTTAGTAAATGTAATTCTTAATTGTTAAAGAACTGTCTTCGATGAAAGCAGTTTGTCAGAACTGTGGTCCCCTAAAAAAGGGACTCTAAAACAACTTACTGCAATGCTCTTCTACAATGAATGTCTGTCAGGCAATCTAAGAAGGGATAAAGAAGGGAAACACCCACAGTGGTCCTCAGCAAGGGTAAACGTTAGAGACCAAAGAGTAACAAGCTGCCTGGAGTAGAAACACGGACATGTTCTAGGAGAGGAAGAGTCTGGGAAAAGGGAAGATCTGCTGAAATTAGAAGGAAATCAGGTGTGGATAGCTACTAAAAAGAACTATTGGGAAAAAAATTTAGAACAGCTAGAGTACTGTTTAACTGTATTTTAAAATAACAGTTCCTTGGATAGAAATATGAGGGTACTTGAAGAAGTTTATGGAATATGGAATTAAAAGATAAGTTTATTTTGGTTTAAAAATTTTTTGCAATCAATGTAGTTTTTTTCATGTGTTTTTAATGAATTTTTGGAAGAACTCTCATATGCACACATTTCAATTGTTTTTCCCCTTTATTCAGGAGGCAGAGAGACAGACAGACACACACATGGAGACAGAGAGGTTGTGTCCACTGGTTTACTCTCCAAATGCCTCCCAGCAGAGGCTGGGAGCTGGACACCCAACCCCCGAGCCACCACTGCTGCCCCCGAGGCAGGAGTCAGGAGCAGAGCTGGACATTCCCATAAGGCACGTGGTTATCCCAACTGCGAGGCCAAACACTGGCCCCTCAAAAATGTTTTGCACCAAAGTAAACCTATCTTTTAATTTTTCTTGAACTTTTTGAAATATCTTGTGCTCCCAGAAAGGAGACTTCCATCTTTTTCCAAAGTTGAAGGAGGAAAAGTTCTTCAAATATTCAATTTTATCTGATCAGAACTGTAACAACATAGAATTAAGTTTCCTGAATAGATCTGTTCCACAAAAAAGGAAGTTACTATCAGATAGCCAGTGCTGGTTCCGGGCCAAAAGTGGGAACTTCAACTTTAGATGGATTTTCTGGCTTGTTAACTGGGGCAGCATAAGCCAGAAATTCCAAAGATGTTTTCATCAAGTTTTGAGGCTTAAAAAACGAAGAGGCCGGACATCTGATCTACACTGACTCAATGAAAATGTAGCAGCATCTCTTCTGAGATCCCAGCCCAGGCACGGGTGAAGACTCAGCATACATGAACACTAGACACTTAAAATCTGCTTCCATAGGGGTGATGTGTGAGTCTCACAATCACCATTTTAAGGAAAATGGGCAAATTTCTGCCCCTACTTTGTATTTTTATGTTTAGTTTTGTTACTTAGGCCCTACAGTCAATTGTGTCCTTTTGGCTACATAAATGAGCCTGTTCCCCAGACCCCTAATTCAAACCTACAAGTATGTGGGTCTCCTACAGCTCATTCCTTCATCTGTCTGCCTGTAACTTCTATAATCTGAATGTCTGCCTACAAAACTGTGTGCTGGAAACGCAATCCCCAATGCAACGTGCTCCAGGCAGAGCCCCTGGGAGGTGACTCTTGTTCTCTCTGGGCCTCTCCGCCCTTCACGCCACAGAGTGATGTGGCAGGAAGGCCCCAGGCGCTGGTAACCCGATATGAGACTTCCCAGCTCCCAGAGCTGTGAGAAATAAATCTTTCTTCATAAATGGCCCTCTCTGGTATTCTGTGATATACCCCAAAATGAGTTATGACAATAACCACCACGCAAACTGAGGGGGGAGGCCACGAAGAAACGTGGAAGCATCTATAAGCGTCTTACTTCAGTCAGGAGACAATGAGAGAGGAAGAAGTAGGATATTAGAGATACTCACCCTTCAGCGTAAGACACCGAAAACCCAAAGCCAATGCCTTTGGATTCTCATGAGCTGTTCTTTGTTTCCAAGGAAACAGACACACAATGTAAGAGCTTAACTGGTATCTGTGTCTCAGAAACAAACAGGGCCAGCCCGGTACTGACGTAAACACAGTCTTAAGATGGGACTTGAAATGACTCGGATACTAAGGCAGACACACAAACACACATACTCAGTGATGGAAAAGAACAGAAAGCATTTTTTCAATTATGAGCTTAATGTCTATCTTCAGACAAGTCCAATCTACTCCGGCCTTGCTTCACAGTAAACTTTCGAGGGCGTGAAAAATTTTGTTGACAGAGAATTAAACTTTAATTCGCTATCAAGGGCTTCTGATGAGACATTCAACCCAAACAGATGACTTGTCAAGTTAGAAAACCTGGAACTAGCAGACTTGTTCCTTGTTCTTCACTCTACGATGCGGACTGCTGGGTTTTGGCCCATGCTCAGACACTGTTTTGCAGTCACTAACCTTGTCCCACTCCTGTTCAGAGGTCACGTGCTTGTCCAAAAACTCTGCCATCCCCATCCCCATCCTCCGGCAAATGTCGGCAATCACTTTCTGATACTTCTCAGCCAAATTCCTAAACTCAAGGGAGATCTGAAACGGAGATCACAGAAAACAGAAAGTATGAACGACTACACCACAGAGCAGGGTAGAACTCTCTTGATGGCTCCCCAACAGTTCATCTGTGTGCTCAACCTCAACCATACCATTCTACATGCTAAATAATAAGCTCTGTGCATTCTATAAATACCAAACAGAAATGCTAATGTTCCTAGATGCAAAATAAAACTCAAAGTCTCGTTATCTATTCATTTTCCAATATATAATAAATAAGATACTTCAACACAGAGTTGGATATTAAGTGTAAGAATTTTAGGAAGAACAAACATCTTGCTTCAGGTGAACCTTGTTATGGCAAAGATTCATTTGTGCAAGCGTCTATCAAGCCATTTCTACCTAACAAACCTTGTTCTAGGCACTAGGGAGAGACGTCAGGGAAAACGAAAACTTCTACCCTTGCAGCTCGTATTCTAGCAAGGAGATCAGCCAGCCACTTCCCATTGTCAGTTTCCCAATTGTATCTTAAAGCTGGAGTGTCTCTCTCACTGTAAAGTTATATTTTTTATTTCCTTAAGCAACTCACACAATACGAAGCATCCTGCCTGGTATTTTTTTTTTCATAGCCATGTTCTAATGTAGAAAACAGTCTTAATGTTTATTAAGTTTATTGGTACTGCAGAAATATCTTGTTTAAATTCAAAGAAATGTTTATGGGTTAACAAAATAAACTAATAAAAATGATGTCATTTAATCCACTGTTTAACCCCCCAAAACCCATAAAATCAGTCTCTGACCCCTGCTCCTTCCAGAACAGCTGTTCCAAGCCAGGGCCAAAAGCAAATTCCTCCTGTGGATGGAAAATACTAGCACCTCTCGCAGAAGGTAGGCGACTCCGACTCCCCCCAGAACCCTTCCTTACACAGATCCTCGGCCAGACCAGTTCTATTTATAAAATGAAAAGGCCAATGAGGGTGGGAGGAGGAGCTTAGACTCAGGAAAACAAACTCTTCAAAATAAACACTTTCTCATTTCTGAATTTGAGCTGTCTCTTCCAATAACTTTTTCAAATGTATTACATGATTATGCAGTTCAAAATGTGAAAACAAAAATATGCAAGAAAAAAGTGAACCCAAGGGAAGAGGGGTGCTTTGCCAACTCCAGGCTCACTGCCCGGTTCTGTGCATTCTCCAGGCCCAGCGACAAGCTCTCCCGTGAGAGGGGTGCCCTCCCCAGCCCCTCGTGCCAGGTGGGTTCCACTCCAGACTAGACACGGTGCCTTGGGCCTCAGACCACTTCCTGGTGCCTGTGAGCTCATGAAGGAAGCACCGGTGTGATAGGAGCCCACAGGGAGAGTGGACAAACGCCAGATCCTGTGTCACGGGCAAGGACAGCATGGCATTTCCGTTCACCTGTGAAGGCAAACTCCCCAATCAGAAATCTTAGAACACTGTTATCAAATCCCTACTATGTTCAAGAGTTTTTTGCTTATTTGCTTTTTTAAAAACAGCTTGAGGGGCTAGCACTGTGGCATAGTGAGTAAAGCTGCTGCCTGCAGTGTCAGTATCCCATATAGGTGACAGTTCGAGTCCCGGCTGCTCCTCTTCCAATCCAGCTCTCTGCTGTGGCCTGGGAAAGCAGTAAAAGATGGCCCAAGGCCTTGGGCTCCTGCCTGCACCTACGTGGGAGACCCGGAAGAAGCTCCTGGCTTTGGATGGGTGCAGCTCCAGCTGTTGCAGCCAACTAGGGAGTGAACCAACGGATGGAAGATTCTCTCTCTCTCTCTCTCTCTCTCTCTGCCTCTCCTTCTCTCTCTGTGTAAGTCTGACTTTCAAATAAATAAACAAATATTTTAAAAAATAAAAGAAATCATTAATTTATAAAAAAAAAAAAGGCCAGCTTGAAAGAGGCAGTTAATTATGCCAATGATTAAATGCAAGATCTGCATCTCACAGGTGATCTGACAAAAATGTAGGTAACAGCGTATCATGTTTTAGGTAGTTCGCCTATTGAAACTACATTATAGGGCCAGCGCCGTGGCTCAATAGGCTAATCCTCTGCCTTGCGGCGCCGGCACACCGGGTTCTAGTCCTGATCAGGGTGCCAGATTCTGTCCCGGTTGCCCCTCTTCCAGTCCAGCTCTCTGCTGTGGTCCGGGAGTGCAGTGGAGGATGGCCCAAGTGCTTGGGCCCTGCACCCACATGGAGACCAGGAGAAACACCTGGCTCCTGCCTTCGGATCAGCGCGATGCGCCGGCCGCGACGGCCATTGGAGGGTGAACCAATGGCAAAAGGAAGACCTTTCTCTCTGTCTCTCTCACTCATTGTCCATTCTACCTGTCAAAAAAGAAAAAAAAAAAAAGAAACTACATTATAGAAAAAAAAAGAATCATGAAATATTTTTAGTAACTGATTTACAGTAAATTAATAAATGTATTATTGCCACTGTTTAAAAGTAATTCAGTCTAGCAGCTAAGAGGCCTGTGTTCCATATCAGAGTGCCTGGGTTCAATTCCAGGCTCTGGCTTCTGACCCCAGCTTCCTGCCAATGCAGACCCCAGAAGGCAACAATGATGGCCCAAGTAACGGGGTCACTGCCACTCATGTGGGAGACCTGGATGACATTCCTGGTTCCCAGCTTCAGCGCAGCTCAGCTCCAGCCACTGCAGACATGTGGGGAGTGAACCAGTGGATGAGAGCTCTCTGTCTCTCAAACAAAATGAAATTAAAACACTAAAACAAAACAAAACCAAAACCAAAAAACACCGTACTATTTCTTGCACTAAATTCTGGTAAGAAATATATGTGGACTTCCATAAGCATGGGCTCTGTATCTTCAGATTCTATGAACTGCACACTGAACACATTTAATAAACACAATGTGTCCATACTGAACAGTACAGGCTTTTCTGGTCATTCCCCCAGATAATGTAACAACAATTTATGTGCATTTACACCGGATGAGGTATGGTGGGTCATCTAGAGAGGACTGAATTACAGAAGTGCGTAAATACCATACCTCCTCATACCGGAGAGATTTCAGTATCATGTGGTCCTAGAACCAACTCCACAGAGGCACGGGATGATGATATTCTAACTGGATCCATAGTATACAATGAGAGTTCTAGAAAGCCTGACTTGAAATGGTATCAACAAATGATCACTATAGCAAAAAGCCTCAGGTTCAATCTGAAGGCACAGACTGACAGTACATGGAGGTAGTTACTTGATTAGATCAGATTGTTCTGTCTAGGCTTATTCCTAAATTCTATGGGTCTGGGACACCAGAGCAAATGGAGGCCCACATACCATATGTTGCTAATATTTTTTAAATTTTCTATTAAACGTGTTCATTCAAATATGTTCTACCTTCCTGTCCTGACAAACCTCTCTTCCTGACAACCTGGATGGTTCAGGTTTGAATTTAAAATGCTTGGTGCTCAGGGTTTTGCTCCAAAAATGCAGCAGGGCAGAGACTGTAGATCCCCAGTGCCCCTCCCTACCACCCCCAGTTCTGTCCAGCCCTGGGAGGGACCTCACATTCACATGTAAGGATGCTCTAGCCTGTAGGACCAGTTTCATCCACCACCCTCCCAAACACAGCCCTTGGCCACCCCTCAGGCCTCCAGACACAGCCACTGGTGGCATGTTCCATTCTAGATAAGAGATGGACTTAAGGAGACAGTCAGACCTTGGGCATGGGCTCAGAGACAGGGGGTTCCAGACACCCAGAACAATAGTTGAGAAGGGGATGGTAGCATTCCATTTCAGAGTGCTGGTGTGAATCCTGGCTACTTTCTACTTCCAATCCAGCTTCCCACGAATGAGCCTGGGAGCCAGAGGATGATAGCTCAGGTACCTGGGTTGTTATTATCTACATGGAAGACCCAGCTCCAGTTCTTGAATTCAGCCTATGTTAGTCCTGTCTGTTGTGGCATTTGGGGAGTGAACCAACAGATGGAAGCTATCTCTCTCTCCCTGTCAATCTACCTATCAAATAAAATAAATCAATCATTAAAATAAAATAGGTGGTGGTATTGTGGCATAGCAGGTAAAGCTGCCTCCAGCAACACTGGAATCCCATATAAGCGGTGGTTTGAGTCCCGGCTGCTCCACTTCTAATCCAGCTCCCTGCTAATGCTCCTGGCAAAGAAGCAGAGGAGGCCCTGGTGCTTGGGCCCCTGCACCCATGTGGGAGACCTGGATGAAGCTCCTGGCTTCAGACCAGTCTAGCTGTGGGCACTGCAGCCATCTGGGAAGTGAACCAGTGGATGGAAGGTCGATCTCTTTCTCTCTCTCTCTCTCTGTAGCTCTGCCTTTCAAATAAATAAATCTTTAAAAAATAATAATAGGGGGCCGGCGCTGTGGCACAGTGGGTTAATGCCCTGGCCTGAAGCGCCGGCATCCCATATGGGCAACGGTTCTAGTCCCGGTTGCTCCACTTCCGATCCAGCTCTCTGCTGAGGCCTGGGAAAGCGATGGAGGATGGCCCAAGTGCTTGGGCCCCTCATCCGCAAGGGAAGCCCGGAAGAAGCTCCTGGCTCCTGGCTTCAGATCGGCGCAGTTCTGGCCAGTTGCGGTCAACTGGGGAGTGAACCATCCGATGGAAGCCCTCTCTCTCTCTCTGCCTCTCCTTCTCTCTCTGTGTCTAATTCTGACTTTCAAGTAAATAAATATATCTTAAAAAAAATAAATAAATCTTTAAAAAAATAATAATAAAATAGGGTAAGGGAACTCTCTTGCCTCAGTCTCAGAACAGAGCTATGGAAGCGAGGTCAAACTCTCAATCCCTTACTTGTTCTGTCCTGTGATCCGGTCAGAAGCTACCTGTAGCAGAACACCAGGCAACCACACCACCCACCAACACACGCACACACTCATTTCTTAAGAAGACCATTTCTACCTATTGCTGTCTCCTGCTGAATCACAGACCAAAAGGACCTCAAACTCAGGTATCTTAAAATTATACATGCCCACAAAACACATCACATTCCTAAGGATATAAAAGGCGAATAGCAACACAACAGTGCTGGCTGTCCTGGGCTTTCACTCCCTTTACTCTGCCTAGGAACAGTTCTCTGCTTTCAGGGTCATGGGGGCGCTGCTACCCCAAACGGAAAAGACACATTTCATGTTCACATTTGATATCTTCTAGAATAAAACATTATTTTTCCATTAGAATGCTCTATGTGTAAAGGCACTTACAAATAAGCACTTATAAATATGCTGAAATACTGGCTGAAAATTTACTAGCTAAGATTAACCAAAATTAACATAAATTTTAAAAAAACTTAGCCCTTAATTCATTTTCCACAAACTTTTTGCTTATTTATTTGAGAGAGAAAGAAACAGAGAAATCTTCCATCCACTGGTTCATTCCCCATTGACTGCAACAGCAAAAGCTGGGCCAGGCTAAAGCCAGGAGCCAGGAACTCAATCCAGGTCTCTCCTACGTGGGTGGCAGGTATCTCCCTATCACCTGCTGCCTCCCAGCTGCACGTTAGCAGGAAGATGGAATTGGAGGAGCTGGGACTCAAACTCAGGTACTTTGATATGGGATGCCCACATGGTGGGCCTGGATGCCCCAAGCAGGACCTTAACTTCTGTGCCAAATGCCCAGCCTAGCCTTGTTTTTGATATTACCTAACACATTTATCCTATAACCATTAATTATTTGTTATGAATCTACTCAGGTCAAGAGGAGTTTGGCGGGGCTGGCACTGTGGCATAGCAGGTAAAGCCGCCACCTGTAGTGCCAGCATCCCATATGGGCACCAGTTCAACTCCCAGCTTCTTCTCTTCCAATCCAGCTCTCTGCTATGGCCTGGGAAAGCAGTAGAAGATGGCCCAAGTCCTTGGGTCCCTGCACTCACATGGGAGACCCAGAAGCAGCTACTGGCTTTGGGTTGGCACAGCTCTGGCTATTGTGGCCATCTGGGGAGTGAACCTGCAGATGGAAGCCCTTTCTCTCTCTCTCTCTCTGCCTCTCTGTAACTCTGCCTTAAAATAAATAAATAAATCTTAAAAAATAAAAAAAGAGAAGTTTGGGGAGGCTGTTGTTGCCTTTGGTAAGTATTGGTTTAAGTGAAAATCTACTATAAATGGCACGTGCCCACTACTGGCAGCAATTCATCCACCCTAGCAGGGTCCAAAGGCTCCTCCAGAGCCAGTCACAGGTTTCCAGGGAGAAGACAGCCATGCTCTGGTCCTCAGGTGTTCCGTGAGGACTAACCCACGAGTACCTGCCCTCGGGTAGAACTCTCCCTTCTCATCTTCTTCACAGACCCTTTGTTTTGGATCGGATGTGACCTGATGTGACCTCAGCAATCTGAAATAGGCCCTGCTCTGAAGGAGTCTTTCTGAAACATTCTTCTGGAATAGGTAAACTCTGCGCTGTCCCTCCAGCTCCTTCCCGCTCAGACACACCACACACAGCTGTGATTCAACAGTAAAGTCACAGAAGCACTGTCCCACTCCCAAAACTCTGGCAAATGGGTATAAAATGGACTTCTTTGGGCTATTCGGGAATATATGACTTTGTTAAATCAGACTTTTACTTATTATATATGGACTATCTACAATCTATGTGATAAGACATGAAAATTCTGGAAAAGTGGGCATACTCACACATATAAATGTGTGGGACTCTACAGCACAAGGTTTTAATTACAGCTCACTTTACTCCAACAAGATGGACAAAATAGCTAATATTTACAGACCACTTGGCACGTACCAAGCTTTATCATTATTTTAAGTACGTTACAGGTAGGAAATGATCCAATCCTCAGGGTTCTACCTCTACAGATAAGGACACGAGCATAAAGCAGGGAAGGGACGTGCCAGGTCCAGACAGCTCTAAGCAGCAGCGCGTCAGCCTGCTTCTCAAGCCTCACTCCAGCGGGAAGAGCTCACTGCCTACTTCTCTGGAGCAGCAAGCCCATGTCAAGGCTCACGATGCTCCAGAACTCAGTCACGTCACACAGCGAGTGTGGGAGCTACCACGGTGAGTGTGGCGTCTCCCACAACCTTTGGATGCATTTTTCCACAGGAAGATGCACAGGACTTCCAAACAATATACTGCAATAAAAATAGTAGTGAACACTGTTCTAAGAACTTTTCCTATATTAACTCTTACCCCTCACAACAATACAATGAGGTAGGTGTTTCACACATGAAGAAATGGAGGCATAGAGAGGCTGTATCACCAACCACCCGTTACTACGTTGGGATGCAGGCTGACAACTGCATTACCAAGTACAAACACAAATGTGGGCACAAGAGACTCATCATTCCACTACCGTTGGGAAGTCCTCCAGCACTTGTCGATCCTTCTCCTTGCTCTCCATAAACCGCCAGTCGGGTTCATAAAGGAAAGAGTGAAAGTTGTGTAACAGTGGAATCTTCTTTTCCACACTGATGGTCATGTCATCTTCCAGGGTGTCCAGAGCCCGAAGAACCAGATAAAATATGCATACCGCATGGCTGTAAAAAAAGAGGAACTGTTAATACATAAGGACATCCAAAGATATGAACTTCAAAATAACATCTAATTTGTACTGGCCATTTTCTTTTCTTTTTTTTTTTTTTAAGATCTATTTATTTTGAAAGTCAGAGTTACAGAGAAAAAGGGAGAGAGAAAGAGATCTTCCATCCATGGGTTCACTCCCCAGGTGGCTGCAATGGTCAGTGCAGGACCAGGCCCAAGACAGGAGTTTCATCTGGTCTCCCGGGGGATGCAGAGGCCCAAATACTTGGACCGTCTTGTACTTCTTTTCCCAAGCAATTAGCAGGGAGCTGGATCACAAGTGGAGCAGCTGGGACACAGATCAGAGCCCACACTGGCGTTCTAGGCCGCGGCTTAACCCACTGTGCTTCAACACCAGCCCCATGTACAGGCCACTTTCTAAACCTGCCTTTACCTTAGCTCTACAGAACTATGAAAAGATATCTTAGACTCTTCATACTTAATGAGACTTACACTAGTTTTATTTTCTTAAATGAGTGTATGGACCTCTGTAATCTATTTTAAAAAATAATAAAAACTACCAGATGGAGTTATTAACCCTATGAGCCCTATGAGTTAATTTAACTAATGTAGAACTACACAAACCAAATGTTTAGACCAAACTAATAACCTGCAGATAGAAAAGGAAGTCCCAAGACACAACTTCTTCTCAGTTAAAGATATCACACATAAAGGCAGCTGGTGTAGCCTGTTGTGTATACTCTGCACAAAGGCAGCTTCAGAGGAATTAACCCACTAGGCCAGAAACGCAAAGCAGAGTAAGGGAAGCCAAAAAAATACATGACCTACCCAGGCAGGTTCAGCAGCCAGGACTAAAAAAAGTTAATAAACATTACCATCCCCCCCCCCCCGAAAGAGCTGGGCCCGCAGGGACACTATTAGATGGCCAGGTGCCTGGAAGGGCATTCTAAAGTAAACACATGGGCATTTCCAATCCCCAACATTTCCTGCACACAGGCGGGGCCGCGTTCTCGCAAAGCCAAGAGCAATGGGACTGCAGCCCTCCCAAAGTAGCTTCGATGACTCAACTGCCCACGGAAAATCTTTCCTCCCCCAAGTCGGAGACACTGCTGCATCTGCCACTCACCGCATTTCCCCATCCAGCGCCTCGATAACAGCTGCGAAACTGCGACTGGTCTGATTCAGATACTTGTAGCAAGTTTTCAGGCTGCTGCTGAGCGAGTCCTGAGGGCAGACAACACACACGGCGGTGGGCGGCGCGGAAGAGCACGAGTGGGACGGGGGCAGGAGGCTGGCGGCCGGGCTCCGCAGCCTACCGCAGACGCCCTCTCCCCGCAGCCAGTCCTTGGAGGGCCAGGCGGCCGGAGGCAAAGGGCAGCCCCGCGGTGGGGCGCCGGCGCTCGGGCCCCTGGGCGCCGCAGCAGGGCTCAGCACCAAGGTGCGCTTGAACAGGGACATGGCCTTGGTGCTGCAGGCGGCTGCGGCCATGGGAATCTTGGAGCCAGCCGAGTTTTTCCTCCATAGACCCCAGCAGAGCTGGGAGGCGCCCGCTGAGGGGCGCAACGGACTCTCCCTCCCCCCAAATAAAGCACTGCGCAGGCCGAGCCCCGAGGGCGCCCCGCCCCACACGTGGAGGCCGCCCCGCCCCCGCCTCCCCCTCTCCCCAAGCACAGCCCCGCCCCCCGCGCAGCCCCACACGTGGAGGCCGCCCCTCGGCCCCGCCCCGCAGCCCCGCCCCGAACAGCTCCGCCCCCGCCCCTCGGCCCAGCCACCCGCAGCCCCGCCCCCGCCCCAGCAGTCCCAAAGCCCCAGCGCCAGGGCGCTTCCTCTGGGGCTTGCCCTTCTCCCTGGAATCCACAGGCTGCTGAGGGAACCCAGGCCACTTCCTCCCTCTGACAGAGTCTCTCACAGACCCCACGGCTGGATCCCCTTCCAACCAGGCCCGCACCTTGGTGCAGATTGGCCAGAGTCGCCCCTTACCCCTGGGGTCTCTTTCCCCTCCACCCAGGGCGCCACTCTAACTTGCCATTTTCCCTTGGAGGGATGTAGGATTGAGCGCAGTCTCCTCCCGCTTTGCTACTGCCCAGCTGTCGTTTTTCCTAAACACCTGCTAAGCCTCTACTGTCCTCTGGAAAGCGGGCTCCTCCTTCCACGATTTCTTCTTGCCTTTCCCTTTGAAATCAGTGAACTGTACTGCGCCGTTTCCTGACCTTTACTCTTCCCTAAAGAAAACAAGTAAGGACCCCTCTTCTCCAGAGGTGACGGAAGGCAGGCCTATCAGAAAGTCAGAAAGACTCGCCTTTCCTGTGTGTGTAATTTGTTATGTAGGCTTTTTAAAAAAATCAGATTGAGTACAAAGTACCAGGAGTTCCCATACACTTCCTCTCCCTACAAGTCTCCCCACCTTCTGTTAAAGAAATATGTTTGAAAGCAGAGTGAGAACAAGAAAGAGAGGGAACGACAGAAAGAGAGACAGAGAGATTCCATCTGCTGATTCACTCCCCTAACAGCCACAACAGCCTGGGCTGGGTCAAGGAGCTCCATCAGGGTCTCCCACATGAGTGGCAGAGGCCCAAGTTCTGGGGTCATCTCCACTGCCTTCCCAGGCCCTACCTTGTTCTTAAGAGAGACATGGGAAACATTTACAATATATAACAGAAGAGTTACGACAGCTTATCTACTGGTAAGAATCGCATAAAGTCACACTGGAATGTTAAGAGAACCCTGGTGGGGTCCAAGTGTACTAAGATTTTCCTTATGTACATTTCCAAAAATTTCCTATCACTGATATATGTTATTTTGTCAAACAGAGTAAAGCTTTTTCTTTTTAAAAAAATGTCACATAATGTTGATAATTTCATTTTACTGCCATTCCCAATAAACAATTGTTAGTAAAAGTTAATATTTACTGGGTACTGTATTTTAGTACAGCACAAGGTCTGGCACACAAAAGCATTCAGTGAAGGCTTGATGAATAAAATGCAGAGTATTTAAAATAGTCTACCAGGGGCCAGCGCTGTGGCGCAGCAGGTTAGGCCACCTGCGTCACCGTCATCCCGTAAGTCCTGAATGGTCTGCTTCCTTTCCAGCTCCCTCCTCATGCGCCTGGGAAAGCAGCAGCAGATGGCCCAAGTCCCTGGGTCCCTGCACCCACGTGGGAGACCTGGATGAAGCTCCTGGCTTTGGCCTGGCCCAGTCTTGGCTGTTGTGGCCATCTGAAGAGTGAACCAGCAGACAGATCTCTCTTGTTCTCTTTCTCTCTCTCCTGCTCTCTCTGTAACTCTGCTTTTCTTTCAAGATAAGTAAATATTAAATCTTAAAAAAAAAAAAAAAAAGGCAAAAACAGTTCACTAACTCCTTCCCTCCCAAACTGTGCAGAGGCAAAATTTTATGGTATAAGAAGAAGTTTGAAAGTTCTTTACCTAGCTCCAGGCCAGCTCTTCCCACAACCTGACAGCTATCAGACCACAGGGATTCCTTTCACTGCTCTGCCAAGTTTCCATCCTCAGCTACAATTAATGATTTTTGAGCTAAGGTCAATAAGCACAAAGATACAGTCACAGTGGACGTGAAAAGCTACAGTCTTTAAAAGAAAACCAGCCTGGGGCCGGTGCTGTGGCGTACCAGGTAAGGCCACCGCCTGCAGCGCCAACATCCCACGTGGGTGCCGGTTCAAGTCCCAGTTATTCCACTTCTGATTCAACTCCCTTCTGGTGTGCCTGGGAGGGCAGTGGAGGATGGCCTAAACCCTTGGGTCCCTGCACTGACATGGGAGACCCAGAAGCGGCTCTGGACTCCTGGCTTCAGATGGGCTTAGTTCCAGCCATTGCAGCCATTTAAGGAGTGGATTGGTGGAGGAAGACCTCTCCTCTCTCTGTAACTCTGAAATGTATCTATTTCAAATAGATATTTTAACTTTGAAATTTATCTATTTGAAATAGATAAATTAAAAAAAAAAAAAAAAAGATGGGGCCAGCGCTGTGGCATGGTAAAGCTGCCTCCTGCTAGTGCTGGCATCCCATATAGGTGCTGGTTCTAGTCCTGGCTGCTCCTCTTCTGATACAGCTCTCTGCTAATGTGCCTGGGAAAGCAGCAGAAGAGAGCCCAAGTGCTTGGGCTCTGAACCCATGTGGGAGACCAGAAGAAGCTCCTGGCTCCTGATCAGCTCAGCTCTGGCCACTGCAGCCATTTGGGGAGTGAACCAGCAGACGGAAGATCTCTCTCTGTAACTCTGCCTCTCAAATAAATAAAATAAATCTTAAAAAAAAAAAAAAGTACTTGGTATTGCATGACAGTTCCTAGGCTCTTTGAACTTTTGCACTTCTGCTCCCCATTAGACTGTGGGGGCAAGCATTTTCCTCTCTATGTCCAGCACATGAAAGTGTGTCCAACTCTCAGCTGGGCTGGGCAATCTGCTGCTTAATGTCTCTTTGTAGTGCACCGTCTTAATTATAGGCAGGAGCCGGCGCTGTGGTGTAGCGGGTAAAGCCACTACCTGCAGTGCTGGCATCCCATATGAGAGCCGGTTCAAGTTCTGGCTGCTCCACTTCCAATCCAGCTCCCTGCCTATGGCCTGGGAAAGCAATAGAAGATGGCCCAAGCCCTTGCGCCCCTGCACCCACATGAGAGACCGGGAAGAAGCTCCTGGCTCCTGGCTTCGCATCTGCGCGGCTCCAGCCATTAAGGCCAATTGGGGAGTGAACCAGCAGATGGAAGACCGGTCTCTCTCCCTCTCTCTCTGTGTAACTCCGAGTTTCAAATAAAATGAATAAATCTTTAAAAAAAATTAGAAGCAAAGCAGGGTAAAGAGAGTGAGCTCTATAGTTGGAGTGCAAGGGTTAAAGCCAGGTTCTGCCACTTAAAAGCCATTAGGTCCTGGGCAATTAACCTCTGTGCCTGTGTCCTCATCTGTAACTTAGAAAAAACAACTCCAGCTTCCTCATAGGATCACTGGAGGTTTAAATAATAATAGATGTGAGGTATTTAAAATACTGCCTAGCACACAGTACAAGTTCAATAAATCTTAGCCATTATTATTATGATACTCTCTGCCTGAAAGGTAAAGTCCCAGGTTTAAAAAACCTTTAAGGGGCTGGCATTGTGGAAGGTGCTTAAACACTGAGGACACTAACATCTGACATTGAAGTACCTGCCAGTTCAAGTCCTGCCTGTGTCACTTCTGATCCAGCTTTCTATTAATGAGTCTCAGAAGGCAGCTAATGGCCCTGCCACATATGGGAGACCTGGATGGAGTTCCCAGCTCTTGCAGTCATCTGGGGGAATGAACCAACAGATGGAAGGTATCTCTCTCTCTTACTCTCTTGCTCTCTCCCTCTCTTCCTATCACTCTGCCTGCATTTCAAATAAATAACTTTAAAACACATGAATAAAGAAATAAAAAGTCTTTCAGCAGGGCACCATCCTAGGAAACTAGAGGCGGAAGAGGGGCAATTAGGGATCTGAAATGACCACAATTCTGCTTGAAATGTCAATGAACACCGATATGGGAGAGCAGAGGAGGGTTTGAAATGGGGAAAATGGCTTTAGTTGTACTTGGGCATTTTATATTTTAACAAAAAAGATGAAAAAATATGGCAAAAAGTTGGCATTTAATCTCACGGATGGCCCAAGTGGCTTACAACATTTTCAGAACTTTGCTATTTACTTCAAATATTTTATAATCATAAGTGCATTTTTAAGCTTAAGTAATCTTTGTGTTTTTTTAAGATTTACTCATCCATTTGAAAATCAAAGTTACAGAGAGACACAGAGAGAGACAGAAACAGAGATCTTCCATCTGCTTGTTCATTCCCCAGATGGCCACAATGGCCAAGGCCGAGCCTGGGTGAAGCCAGGAGCCAGAAGCCTCTTCCAGGTCTCCCATGCAGGTAGCAGGGGCCCAAATACTTGTGCCAGCTTCTGTTGCTTTTCCCAGGCCATCAGCAGAGAGCCGGATCAGAAGTGGAGCAGCTGGGGGGGGCCGGTGCTGTGGCATAGCAGGTAAAGCCGCTGCCTGCAGTGCCAGCAAATCATATGGGCACCAATTTGAGTCTCGGCTGCTCCACTTCTGATCCAGCTCTCTGCTATGGCCTGGGAAAGCAGTAGAAGATGGCCCACATCCTTGGGCCCCTGTACCCGCATCGGAGACCCGGAAGAAGCTCCTGGCTCCTGGCTTCAGATCAGCGCAGCTCCAGCCATTTTGGCCAATTGGAGAGTGAACCAGCGGATAGAAGACCTGTCTCTCGGCCTCTCCTTCTCTCTCTGTGTAACTCTGAATTTCAAATAAATAAATAAATCTTCAAACCAATACCCATATGGGATGACAGCATCATAGGCAGCCTCTCTCCAATGCCAGCCCCAAGTTAAAGGAATTTTAAGCTGTAATAATTAGAATGAACACAACATCTATAAGAAAAGAAGTAGTCTAAAGTGGCCAGACCACACCTAAAATACTGCAATTCTGTACTTTAAGAGAGCGAGCGAGCAGGTCATTCAGGCAAGAGTGACACACAATGAATAGAGGAAGAGCACAGAACATTAGATTTGCACATCAGGATTCTTAAAAGAGAATATGAGAGTTCTCATACATACTTC